GTATGTCAAGATGTATTTGAAAAATTGAAGGAAATTGTAGGTAGAGAAATTACTTTGAAGAGTATTACTTATGGTGAAGATGCAGGTAAATTAGAATTAGCAGTTGATTCAAGTTATATTGCGGCTGGTGCGGTATTAACTCAAGAAGATAAAATTAAGAAAGATAGACCAGTGTTGTATGAATCTGTTACATTTACTGAAGTTGAATCAAGGTACTCACAACCAAAATTAGAATTATGTGGAGTTGCAAAGATGTTGAAGAAATTACACGTTCATTTATGGGGTCAACATTTTGAGTTACAAGTAGATGCTAAAGCTTTGATTCAAATGATTAATACTCCTGATTTACCTAATGCTCCCATGACTAGATGGGTTTCTTTTATTCAATGATTTTCTTTTGACTTGGTTCATAAAGCGGGTAAGACTTTCACTATGCCAGATGGTTTATCACGCAGACCTCAAGATAGTGATTTAGATAGTGATGCTGAGGAATTTAATGGAGAGAAGAAACTTATTGATGTTGCAAACAATGATTAAGATTTTGGAATTTATTGTGGAGATTTAATTATCAATGAAGATTTACTTGATGGTGACGCAAGATGGGAACAAGTTGGATTCTGGAAACGTTTAGTCAATTACTTAGAAAATTTAATCAGACCTGAAGATATTAGTGATGAAGAATTTAGATCAATTAAGAGGAAGAGTGATAAGTTTTATTTGGATAATGGAAGGTTAATGCGGCGGCAAAATCCTATGGCTCAGGCTGTAGTTACAAATGTTGAAGGTCAAGATTGGATTTTAGAACAATTACATGAAGGTTTAGGTCATAGAGGAGTTGAAGAAACTTACAGAAGGATAGTACTTAGGTTTTGGTGGCCAAGTTTGAAGAAGTCTGTGCGGGAATGGGTTCAAAGTTGTGAAGCTTGTCAAAAGCGGAGTTACTTAACACCCAAAGAATTGGGTCATGCTACAGGTGAAGCTACTTTATTCGGTAAAATTAGTATGGATGCTGTACATATTAAAGCTGGACAACATAAATATTTAGTGGTTGCTAGAGATGATTTATCAGGATGGGTTGAAGCGGTACCTTTGGTAAATTCAAAGGCGGATAAGGTTGCTGATTTTTTAGAAAAAGAGTGGATATTTAGGTACGGTGCAACTAAAACGGTTACAGTTGATGGAGGAGGTGAATTCAAAGATGAATTAGTCGAAGCAGTTGAAAAGTGTGGAGCAAAACTTAGAATTGTTACACCTTATTACACACAGGCAGCTGGAATGGTTGAGAGAGGCCCAAGCCAATCAAGGATACCTTAGTCAAAATGTGTAGTACAAATCCAAGCGCTTGGCGGAAGACTTTACCAATGGTTTTATTTGCAGATAGAATTTCAACAAAAAGAACTACAGGAGTTTCACCTTATGAGATGGTTTTTGGTCAAAGAGCGGTCTTACCTGTTGATGTTGAGGCTGGAACTTTCTTAGGAGTTAATTGGGAAGAAGTACATACAAGAGCTGAATTATTAGAAGCAAGAACTGAACAATTATTAAGAAGAGAAGAAATGATGGATAATGCTTGCAGTAAAATGATGAGAGTTAGAGAAGAAAGTGTTAGGTATTGCGATAAGAAAAATGCGCACAAATTAAGGAAAAGTCCTTTGGAAGTTGGTGATATGGTTTTAGTTTATAATGCATCTTTAGAAAGTCAATGGGGTAAATTATTTGAAAATAGATGGAATGGTCCTTATAAAGTCAAAGAACAATTACATATGGGGTCTTTTGTTTTGGAAGAATTAGATGGTACTGAATTACGGCGAAGGTATGCGGCTTCTCATGTCAAGAAATTTTATGCAAGAGGCACAAATGAAGTAGAAGAAAGTACAGATGAAGAAGATTTAAATGAACAACAAAGTGGTGAAGATTTTATGGATTAAGGTTCACGATGGGAAGAAAGTGATGAGGAGTTTGATGTTTAAATTAAAATTACAAAAGTAAATAAAAATACAATATAGATTGTGGTTTTTTTTGACTTATTTTTTAGATTTTTTTATGGTTATGTTTCTTTTTGAGTTATGTTTCTCTATCTTTTTTCTTTTTTTATGTTATGTTTTCTTCATTGAATCACGGCTGTGGGTTACTTCAGAGGCGGATTTCTTTATTTTAAAATTCAGTTGCAGGTTAATTTTCAATTTTCTTAGATTATGGTTATGTTTCTTTCATTTCATTTTATTTTGCTTATTTCATTCAATCAATTATTCAATCAAGAGGGTATTAAAATCATATTAGTGAAGAGGGAACAAAACACAAAGTAGTGGCGGGTTCTTCACTTATCAATTTATTTTACAAGTTTTTTTTATAGTCTTAATTTTTTTTTTCTTTTTTTGGTTATTTTGGGTTTTTACAAATTTAGTTGGCGGGGTTTCTATTTTTTTTATTCTTACAAAGGTTCCTTGAAAATTACGGGTGCTGAAATTACTTTAACAAAATTATTGGAGTTAACATCATTTTAACAAAAGTCATACAAGTCAAACAGGGTCATAGAAAATTTACAATACAAAAATTTATTAGCGGCAGGTTCAAATCAATTAAATTCGGCGTGAAGATTTTATCAAATCAATGGTTATGTTTCAATTTATTATTTCATTTTTTACTATTTCACTTACTTTAATTATCATTCAAGGCGGTCATGGGTTCACAAAATATTTAAACATCATAGAGGCGGGTTTCAATTAATTCTCACAATTTCAAGTTACGGTTATATTTCATTCATATAGAGTCTTTGTCAGCTTGAGTCTATGAAAGTTAGACTAAAATGAACTGAATGTACGTACAGATAGAGTATTCTTTGAAATAAAGAAGTTTTGCGGCTTTGTTACAATAAAAGAGGTGGTCATTTTATTGAAGTAAATTCAAGCCTACAAGTTAGAGATCAGGACTTTTGTCGGTTAGTGTTTTAGACTGGCTGTCTCAGCAACAAGTATGAGTACTCACATTAAGTATAATCAATATAGTCAACTGGTCTCCTACAGGAGGTTACAAATGTAATCCTTCCCCAGGGTGAGTCAATAAGCTCTACTTCTCAACTTTAAGAATGTTTAGTTCTTATCGTAAAAGAGGATCTGAGAACTATCTTCGACTAGGTATGAAAGGGAATAAAGTTCCGGATAACGGTGATCTTTTATCAGAGTAAGTTTGAAGTCGATAATCAATTGTGAAGAAACCACAAAGGTGACGATAAAAAATAGATTCGTAACAAAAAGTTATACTAATCTAATTTAAATGTATTTGGCTGGGGTTCTTTGATTGTTATAGAATTTCAAGTTTCTGGTAAAAGTAAAAGTTGTTTGGGTGATATAGGATGGGGATCCTGTCTTTGTTTGCATTCGACTCTGGTATTTATATTAGTTTCGAATGTCGTTTTTTATTTTTCCTAAGTGCGTAGTTGGTCAGGGTTGGAATGTAAATTTGACCTTGACCAGGTTTTAAGGGAAGGCTTGGCGCCTGCGATGGTAGGTTAGGGTCTGTTGTAGATTCCTAGTCTAACTTTTTTTTGGTCGTTTTTGTAGTGGTTTCACTTCGAAAAGGGTTTTGGTTTTAATACCTCATCCTGACTGGTTCAGTTTGTCATGGATGAGGGTCTTTCTTTTTAGTTCACGTATTCTATTTACTCTTGATACTAGAGTATGAGGTGTATGTTGATTCGGGTTCTATAAGAAGGGTTTTATCGAGCTTTTTATTTTTTTAGTGCTTATGTATTTTTTGTCTTCCTAGGGGGTAAGTATTTGCCCTCTAGGTTGACACTCACCGGGGTCGAAAAAAAAATCTCTCATTTTTGAAGATTTTTTCTCTCTCCTCTGAATTTCCTAAGTAAAACTGAGGAATTTGGGATCTTGCTTTCAGTTATCCATTCATCGTAATCACTGCTTTTATTTTTGTGATGGACTAAAGATAATCTGGTATCTTTACCCTTTGATTTGATCATTCTTTGCTGCAAGACTTTTTCTACAGTCTTATCAGTTTCCTCTTCGAAAGGCACTGGTTGTTTGATTATTTCTGCTCGCGATGAGAGCTGTTTGCCTACTGCTTCCCTGTAGTGTTTCAGGAGGGACACCGGGAAGGTTGGGTGTTTTCTAGAAAATTCTCCCGTCAGTGCCACTTTGACTGCATTTGGTCCATGCAGTTTGACAACGACAAATGGTCCTACGAAAGAATCCCTAAGTTTCTTGGGTCCTTGGATGTTCGTAAAGTTTATTGTTGAGACTAGGACTTTGTCTCCTATTTTAAATTCAATTTCTTTATGGGTTTTATCCCAACGTTCTTTATTATATAGAACTGAGTCTGTTATGCATTGTTTCGCATGATCACAGGCTTTGCTAAGCATCATGTGAAAATTCAGCGATGTTGGGTGAATTTGAATATCTTTATCTTTTATAAAATCTTTTGGTAATCATAAAACTAAAGGCACAACCAAGTTTCCCAGCGAAACTTGATTAAAACCCTTAAGCCTTTATATACCCCCCTAAGCCCTTAAGCATCCATGACTCTCTTACTTCAAATGGCAGACTTCACGTAACCTATCCTCTTGACTGCAGCATCCTCAATTGATCGCCTTCCAATTCCCCACCCCACTTCTATACCTGCCCAGCAAGATCAATCACAAGAATATTGTTTGAAATGCTTTGGTATTGACCACCACGAGTTATCCAATTCCAACCAACAAGCCTCAATCCTAGCGGCATCCTCATGGAGTGCTTTCACACCTGCCATGCTTTGATATTCACAACAACGATTTATTCACTTTCAACCAACAAGTTTCAATAGCTGACATTGAGGTGTTTGTCATTTTAACTTTGAGCCAAATAACATTTTGACTATCTATCTCAAAGAATCACGATAAACAATTTGAATCAAACAATCAATCATGCTTTGATCATGCTTGATATTGATCAAAAAGGTGTTTCAAGCTGATATCAAGGTGTTTCAATGTTTCAAGGCATTTTGAGCAAATGGGAATCTTGACAATCATTCAAGTTAAAGACAGACTTCGAATGGTAACACCACCTACTCCACTCAAAGAACCTCAACCATCAACAACATCAGCTCCTACCCCCAAACGTGGATTATCAGTCAAATCATTGCACCCACGCTCATTGACTGCCAACATACCCGATTCAATTAATTTATCAGCAGCGCAAGAAGAATTTTTAACCAATGTGTTTGGTTCAGTTCTTGATCCAAACATAACTAGAGGTCAATGTGGGGCTTGTTGAGAAGTTTTCAAAGGTGAAGGTAAAATTTATCCAGATCCAAGACGTGATGATTTATCATCAGGTGATTGGGCTGGTGTCTTTTGTTGTCGTAATTGTTATATTAAACTCTTCAACCGTGGGGATTGTAAAGCTTGGGAGAAAGTCATAGTGGGTGATGAAGGTTTTGTTCAGCTTGAGAAAGCCGGTTCACGTGGTTTTTGGCACAAGGTTTTTCTACTTTTCTCTTCTCCATTGTTAAGTTCATCAAGAAACTGATTGCATTTTTTTGATCTATCAACAGAAATATTTCAGATGCATACACTGCACAATAGATATCTCATTATCTCCCTCAGTAAACTTAGGAGGTGATCTGTGTTGTGATGAATGCCTTGATCGCTCAACGAACAAGTCCGCAACATCCATGGTCACTGATATCCCAGATCTTTGCAATGAACCTAATATCAAAAGAACTGTGGATTCACCCGCTACTAAGGCTTTGAGACCAACAGTTGAAGAATTAAGAAGTAAGCTACAAAAGGCTGGACTCGAGAAAGGCCCTACACCTTCACCAAAACTCTCAGCTTCACAGTCAATGAGTTGTGACTCATCACCTACAACCCACCAGTCCCCTTCCGACCTCGGCCTCCACGGGCACAATCACCCGTAATCAGCTACAGCCTACTCAACCACTTTCAATTTCACCCACACCACCAATTACCCATAACCAATTTACTCGGAATCATACTCAACCACTTTCAATTTCACCTACCTCACCAGTTACCCGCAACCAATTTACTTGTACTCGACCACTTTTGACTTCTGTGCACTTTTTTCGCCTTCTCATGATCATTGCAAAGCGAGTTCCTCAAAACAATCCTCGGTCTCTGGCTATGGGCTGTCAGTATCCACATTAATCACACTCATTTGTCATCAATTATATTGTACTAACATTATCACACCGCACTTCAATCTATTTTGTGTCATTTCCGCGTGTCCGACTACAAACTTTTATCGGCTGCCCAATTTCATTGATCCGGTTGATCGCGACACCTTTGAATATTCAGCAGAGTTGACAATCGAGCACAATCCTAAAGACGCTCAAAATGTCACCTTCCAGGTTTTAAGCAGCTTTTCATTAACTTTCCATCTCATTTCCTTTGGTAATAGTATCTGTCACCTGATGTAAGCTGATTTATTTGACTTTTTATTCAACATTCAAATTGATCATGATCTTACCACAGGTACCACAGGTACTAAAATAGAAAAAGTACAAGAATCCGATTGGTTAGATATCAAAGTATGTTTATTTAACGATGAAATTATCCTTTTCGAAAGGGTCTCAGCTCAACTCGGTTGATTAAAATTGAATATTAAACGTTCTGAATCACTTCAATCTCAGATCAAACATGATGACATTGATTTTGAATCGATCAATTATGAAGGATAGTACAAAAGTAATTGATCAAATTCCTGAACTTTTAAATCAAGTTAAAGTTGATCAATCACATTCAATGTAGTGGGGTGTTGATGATATTAGCTATTTAACTTAGGTCATTTTTCACTCACTCCCTTGTTTTCCTTCTTCACTTACTTCTTCCTTTTTCTTTCCTTCTTCCTTGCTTTTTGATTCTGATCTTTCTTTGTGTATCTTTGATTTACTTCTAGGTTTGATAAAAGACTTTATCTGATTCTCAAACTTTTGAAAATCAGATTCAATTCTTGATTCAAATATCAAAAGCTCTACATTTTTATAATCACCTCAGAATTCTATGAAACTTGGGTCTTTAATTTCTAGATTCTGTAAAAAATCACTACTTTGGTGATTGGTGAACCTGTGATTTTCTCAATCACACCCAAAAATACATTGTTATTTGAATCAGACAATTTAAATGTATTGATTTAGATAGTGCTGTGGATTAGATTTCTAGAAAGTTTCCAAAGGAAATAAATAATTCAAAATTGAAAAACCATCAACTTCAGAAAGACCATTTAAACTAAATCAAATTTATAGATGAGGTGAACCTATTGAAATTGACTTCAAATTATTATCAGAAGGTTCAAATTCAAAAACTAAACCAAAATCAGAACCAAATCAATCAAAGGTATAAACTCCTCTACTTGAATCTCATAGGAATGTAAAGTTTGATTTCATTCAGATTAACTCACATCCTTCAGTTTCATCAAGCAATCCAGGTTCAGGATCATCATCAGAGGAATAAACCCCAAAACTTGCACACTACCACTCCATATTCCTGAAAGGGTATTCAATACTTATTTTGATTTTGATCTGTCACAGACCTCAACAGGCTACTCTTTTGCCTAAAAAAGTTCAAGATGGATCAGAAGAAGCTATTGAAGCTTGTAGATGAGCTGAACTTTAAGAACGTAGATTACAAAGTCAAACATTTGTTGAACAAACTTCAATAGGAGATTTAGCTGAAAGTAAGTTGAGATTCAATTTTTGATGAATCTAGGATCTATGTATTTTGAAAAGCTGATTGACATCTTGATTCTTCATTTTTGTTTAAAGAGGGAATCAAAGGTGTTCCTGGTGTGGATGAGACTGATGAATTAAATTCAGAAGCAGAATTTGAAGCATGGAGATTAAGATATCAAAACAACTGAAAAGGGAAAAAGACTTCATGCTAGAGTAAACCATTCAACTTTTTCATGTTTCTCTTCATCCGAAAAGAGATGTGATTTTTTTTATTTTGATTTATTTTGGTTAGACATGAGAAAGAAAAATAACCATTCGAAGGAAGAAGAGCTTTACCTGAATCTGAAAAATTAGCAGATGATATCAAATTTTCAATTGAAACCTGTGCAGCTAAACCAAAGGACAACAAACTTTCCTATAAAAATATCATCCTAAGAGTGCATTTTATGCGGTCAGTTTCATTGGGTTTTTTATACTATAATTGATACTCTCAATCTCATGTGACATATTTTTCATTCTTTGGTTTATATAGGAAGCAAAAGTTTTTGAAAAAACATGATTCCACTGCACCTACTGAAGGTACAACAAAACAAAACAAAATTACTTCCAGCAGGTATGCAAGTGCAAGATTTTGGAAAGATGCATTGAATAAAATGAACACATTTAGCAAAAGAATTAAGTCACACCAATCTTCTTGCTGTCTTTATTTGGAATCTAGAATTTCATATAATTAAATTTACTTCAAATATTTTCATATAGGATACTACATCTCAAGATGCTGGATGGAGTCAGAAGGGTCAACTTGGGAAAGATGGAAAACCAATAAAATCTGGATGTTGAAATTGTGGTGGACCACATCTTAAACAAGATTGTACAACAGGAATGGAAGTAAGAGCAGCATCAAATAGATTCATGATTGGGATGGTAGGAAAACAGACTGCTGAAGAATCCAAAAGAATATCCATTGAAATGACAAGACCATAGGTATGATGGTTGTTGTGATAAGGAAGGAGATTCTGATGGTACAAATTATAGGCATAGGTAGAGGAGTTGGGATTGGTGTAGGCATAAGGATGAAGAAAAAGATAGATAGAGGTTTTTATAAGGGCGGACATAGGCAATCAGATAGAGATGGAAGAGATTATGGTCAAAGCAATAGGATTCATGATGATCATGAAAGAAACAGAAGTAGGGATTGTGGAAAGAGATAAAACAGGAATGAAAAATATTGGATTTTGAGGGTAATTAATGCCCAGAAAGCAGAAATATGACTATTGTGGATTATGATCTTTTGCTTGGGTGGTTTGTGTTATGAGCCATCTATAAGGGAATGGGTCTATTTTGGTTTGGATACTTGTTGTATCTGGTTCACGCTGTGGAGATCAAATCCTAACAGTACATCTGAAGCTCATTATCATACATTAACATCACCACATTTTTATTTGATAATCTGACTCTACGCATATTTATAACTCTCAAAATTCACAATTAAACTCATATTTTATTTCATTTTCACTGCTGAGCACAATTCACTATCAAGATTTTATCAAAAGCACCCTAATTTCTTATAATCACATCATTACAAAGCAGAGAACATAGCCCAAATTTACATTCATAATCAAGGGAAATTCAACAAGTAGAATCACATAAAGGAAGAGTTAAAAAGAATATCAGAGAATCATTGAGGATAACAGATTGAAAAGTGTATAATATTTAGTTAGGTGAAAGAAAAGAATAGAAAATCAACAGGGAAAAGACATGTCTAAAGCAAGGCTCAGAATCCAAAATGATCAAGATTGATAGCTTAGGTTAAATAAACAATTAAACATAACATACTCAAAGCTCATCATCATATCAGCTCAGTTCAGTTGAAGAGACAAAGAAAGAATACAAAACTTACATACCTAAATTACAGCCCAAAATCGAAAATTTCAAGTCAATGAAGGTTTGATTTTGGGGTCTGTTATTCAAACAAGACAAAGAGGGTACTATCAGTTACTGTCAAGGTTAACATCCAGGAAAGCTAAAAGATGTCTCACTCACTTTACAGGATCAAGATTGGAGTCCAAAATCAAAACTGAATACTAGATTAGGAGTGTGATCAAAGTTATATTGGAATTCTGAGTCAGTTTAATTGAAGGATGAAGATCATGATCATAGGTCAAGATCGAAATCGAGTGGAGATTGATTGTTACTGACAGGAGGTCAGTTTTTGAGGGTTGTAGTTGGAAAGTAGCTAAGATCGAATTTGATTTGATGAGTCTGATTCAATGGGATTGATTTGGATGATGTGATTGAGTGACATAATGAGATTGATTGGGATGTAAGGGTCCAATGGAAGTTTTTGGTATCAATTGATTAAAGGAAGGTACCTAGAAGCGAATGAAGACCCCAAAATCGAAAATGAAATGAATCTTGATGAACAGTCAAAATCGAATTTAATGAATCTAAGATCCAAAGAAGAATGGTTAAGAAAAGAAAATAGAGAGTTAGTACAGTGAGAAAGTGGAGAAGATAGAAAAAAAAAGAAGCAAACTACATACCATATCAAAGATCAGAATAACAATTGAAACAGAATAGAGATTCGATTTTGAGGTCCAATCTTCAAACTAATCAAAGCAAGAAAGAAGATTGAGTCAGAAAGAAATCAAATAAGAACAAACAAAGAATTGAAACAAAGTACTTACTTAAATAAAGGGCCAAGATCGAATTTAAATACTTAAAAGCAAGAATGAGATAGTGGAGATGAATTAAAAAACCTTACCTTGTGTGATTTGAAGAGAAGAAAAGTCCGATTGGAGATCGAGTTGAAAATTGAGAAAGCAGGAGGGAGGGATTGAGAGAAGTTATCTATCAGTTCGTGTCTGCTTGGTCCGTTGTGTCTAGTCGGAGGAGTTAGTGTAGTGTGTTTTTCTTTTTTTTGTGATCCATCCAAGGGATCATCAAGTTTTTTTTAAGTGTTCGCATCTAAAAGTGTTCTGAAGGGTTTCTAGTGTTATTTCTTGAAAGCGTGCTAGTGTTTGATCATCGTATTGGTGTTCGGGTCTGTGTCTGAGTGTTTTGATCGTGTCTTTGCGTTCTTGAGAGCGTATAAGAGTTTTTTCAAACATCCTATCAAAGAATTAGAAAATCATTGTTAGTTATTCTGACGGTTTAAAATTGATCTCGTTAGTTTTATTTCTTTATTTTGCTTAGTGAAGAAGGAAGGAAGATAGAAAAGAGAGGTTTAC